ACCCAGAGAGCACCTTCCTGCTGTGAACTTCTCAGAGCACCGCAGCAATCCTGCTCCTCCAAGCAGGGAGCGCCTCGCCATTGCAATGGGTGAGCAAGCAGACCTTCCCTGGAAGAACAGAATGAACCCTGTGCCACACATCCAATCTGTTTTTCAGGATAAAAGCCATCAAGGGCATTCCTAGGGTTTCAAAAATGAGGAGTTTGGGGTGTGTGCAGCAGCAGTGGCTGCCCACGCCGACAATGTGATTATTTGCATCTTCATTCTGATTGCTCCTTGTTCCATAATGATTTTGTACACAGCGGAGTACTTAACCTAATTTGTATTGATCTCAATCGCTCTCATTCGTGCATACTTAATTCAGAGAGGTAATCAAATTGATTTCTGAGGCCTAGTTTTTAAAAGATTGTAGTAACAGGGATATACAAGGGGTTGCTTTAAGTGAATCACAGCAGGAGAAAAACATTTTAACTCTTTATAAAATGCTTTGATGGTCATTTCATTGTGTTCAGCATTACCAGAGTAATTACATTTCCCTCACACTGAGTCCTCTCCAAAATTGAATAGAGGAGCAGTTTTACTTCTGGCATTTTGGAAAGCCTGGGCTGGCTAGGTTCCTCTCTGGTGGGGAAGAAAATGGAAAATCAGAGTCATTGCTGCAGAAAGTCAGGCAAATGGACTGTGAGTAGGGAAATTCAGAGTGATGGTACTCAGGGTGTCACAGTGCAGTGTCGGGTCCCTGCATCCTCTTAATGCCCTTCAAGCTGTGGGGCTCCACTTTGGTCCATCTAAGGGAAGCAGCACTGACCCCAATTCTGAGCAGTTCCTGTGTTGTTTCCATTGAAGAGCATCTTTAATCCAATGAAGAAGAAAAATCTTTTCTTTTATATTTTTATGTATATTTTTTTCCACAGTTATGGCTTTCAGTTCTTGCCCGTTGTCCATTTTCTTCCATAAGATATGTTCAGGTTTAACCACAGCTAATAAATCAAATTGTGCTTAGAATCCAGATGGTCTCTTCCCTTCCCTCTGCTGTTAAAACCTTTCTCTTTCTTCCCGGAAAATCACTTGATTTTATTAGAGTGCTCACCCCATTTTTCTCTGCTGAGAGATGCACGTCAGGCGCAGCGTTTGCCTTTGTGGGGCCTTTTCAAGAGCAAACTCAACAGTTCAAGGAAAGTATTTACTGAATGCATCAAAAAGCACATACCTCTGCATTATTTATTATCAGATACCAATAACTGTAAAACGCAGAGTATCTCAGGACATAAATTAGTGATGGTAGGAAACACTCCACTCGTCCCAGTGTCCCGGAACCGATTAGGAGCTGCAGCAAAGATGCTGCTGCTCATCATGTCCCCAGCACCAGGGACATCACCTCCTGGATTCTGGACAGGTGGCCAAGTGAACCCAGCCTAACATCTGCTTTTTTTTATCTGTGCAGTGTCAGGGGTGCGCTCAGAGAGCCCAAACCCTTCCCTCCTGCTGCCTGTGGGGTAATGGCCTCACGGAGCATCCCTGCTGCTTCCTGCTGCCGTGGTGTGCTGGGAACATTCACCACAGCCCCGCTCTGCTTTCAGCCCCACTCTCAGGACCAGCTTTGTCTTTGGGGTGCTTTGAGGTCTGGCATTCACCTCCCTCCCAGGGGCAGCTCGGCTGCAGCCACTGGAGTTTGTCAGGAAAATAGGAAAATAGCCCAGTTTCCTGCAGAAATACTGTGAGCTCCTGTCCCTGCATGGAAGGAGACATCAGTGCCACAGTGGCTGACCAGGCTCCACACAGGTACAGCCCGGACTGGGGTAATCACAGACATTTCCACAGTCTGATTTTTACTTTTGGGCCAGCTTCATTTCACGTCCCAGACCTGCAGAATTATTTAACAGGGCTGCTTAAAACCCGCCCGCTTATCAGTTCTCTGGGCTCATTTTGTCCCAGCACATTACCTAACCATGTCAACATATGGATTTTCTCTCTGTGCCCGCTGCAGACGGCCTGGGCAGGCTATTTTTAAGTGTGGGTGTGCTCCGGCAGCGGTATTGGTTTCAGCACTTGCTGTTCTCTCTCTGCTAATAAATACAGAGCAGCTATTAATACAGATGGGGTTTAGGATCCATTAGCAGGGCTCAGCGATGGCCCAGCACTGCTGCCCGGCGTGACCTGAGCTCTGAGGCTGGCTTCACCCTCGGGACATGCCCCGGGCAGGGGACGGGCATGGCAGCGGTGCCCGGGGGTGCTGGCACTGCAGGGGAGGAGCAGGGCAGGGCCGGGTGAGCCAGGGCCTGCCCTGGGAGCTGCCTGGTGCTTTTTCCCCTTGGTGCTCACACGAAGTTGCTGCTGCTGGAGCTTTGACTGGGGTTTGCTTTGGGCTGTTTCAAGGGGCTAAACTAACGCACAGCTGTTATTCCTGGCCATTGAGAGGTACTGGGGATGCAAAAGCAATGCAGCCCGCTGGATTCCTCTGGGAGCCCTCCGGTCCCGAGTGCCAGCATGGTGCTGGCTCAGCTGGTGGCACTGCCCGCACCGTGTGACAGTGCCTGCCGTGGGGGTGGCTGGCAGGGTCTGTGGGCACCCCCCTGACGCTTTCTCTCTGTCTCTGCCGCCCCCTCCCAGCCTGCAAGCGCAAAGAGCAAGAGCCCAACAAAGAGCGGAACAGCTCCCAGAAGAAATCCCGCCTGGTTTTCACGGACCTCCAGCGCCGAACGCTTTTCGCCATCTTCAAGGAGAACAAGCGTCCCTCCAAAGAAATGCAGATCACCATCTCCCAGCAGCTGGGCCTGGAGCTCACCACCGTCAGCAACTTCTTCATGAACGCGCGCCGGCGNGCCCTTCCTCTGCCTCTTTGTGCCCTACCAATTGTTTCTTCCCTGGATTTTTAGACTATGTTGTTGTCTGCATCCCCAGCTAAAAGTGAGGCATGATGACATCTGTATCAGGCACGTTACCTGTTTATAAAGCTATTTCTTAGTGCTGAACTAAATATACAGGTATGTAAAGGTTCTTTGAAAGGTGCTTAGTGGCTTGAAATATTGGTGCTCTCTTCAGCTATAGATTAGTGGTTGTGTTTGAGCAATCCATGCGGTAAATTGTGGTGCTGGCTGATAAATTGTATTTCTCATGTACCAACTTTCCGAAATCATCCCCTGCCCCAGCTCTTTGTTCCACATCATATCTGAAGGCGTTCCTGCCACACAGAAATCTGAATCCTCTCTTTGCAAAGCAAACGAGTTTTATCAGTTTCTTGATTATTTGATGAAGTTCATTCTGAGTACATTTTGGCTTAAATAATTTCTGTATTTTCTCTGCTACTTTTTAAAAGAAACAATGAATTGGCCATCAAGTGTTACTCATTCTGAAGCTGTTTTCCTTAGAAGATTTTCCCCCCAGCATCTCTTTTTTTTTTTTTTTCCCTGTATCTCTTGCCCATCACTGTTTGAACCTAAATATCCCAGTCTCAAGGATTCCTCTCCAGCTGAAAATTGCCACACTTGAGGAATGCAGAGGTGAGAACATTTTTGACAGGATTATTTCCCAGTAACTGGTGTCGGCTCTTCCCACCCTCTGTCTGAGCGTTTTTGCCCCGCGCTGTGGCCCCGGGTGCTGCTCCTTGGTGCTCCTCCCTGGTGCTATTCACAAACCCTTGTCCCGGGTGTTGCTGCCGCCCGGCAGCTGCAGGAGCTGTTCCTTCCCTCCCAATTAGCCGCTACAGGGAGATGCCAGGCGTCCTGCAGTCCCCGGCACGGAGCACTAAAGCACAGCCGCTCATCAGAGCAGCTCCCCTGGAGCCGCCTTCAGAGCGCGCACGGGGTGTGCCGGGAGTGGAGCTCGGGGCTGAAAGGGACTGCAGGCATCGCTTGTCCTCACGGCCTGCCCCTTTCTTCAGCATCTCCACACGGGGATTTTTTACCTAAGCGATCTCTTCCAGGGCTTACAGGTACAAAAAACCCTTAATGACTGGCCTTAATCTCACTTTTTGTCTTCTAAACCCTCTGCTTCTCATCTTATCCCCACTAGACACAGCGAGGAAGAACACTCCCTTCCTTCTGATAGCAATCTGTTTGTATTTAAGGCTCCCATCCTGTCTCCTGTCTTCTCTGGAAAAAGCCCATCATACCTGGGCGATGAATATGCAGGGAAAGCACTATATCCAACGGGACAGATAATACATCTCTTTTTCCAAGGTAAAAGATTTTGTATCCAGCTCTATCAATCTTGCAGACTTTTACATAAAAGGCTCTCTGATTTATGGAGGGGTTTGCACACAGAAATCATACCAAACAGACTAATCTCAAATGGGTTTGGTGATAACATCAGCCAGACAACTCGCTGATGGCAGAGAGAAATGCAATCAAAAAAGAAATTGGAGTGTTTTGGGGTTGTTTGGGGGGTTTTGAGCTATAAAATCAAACTGCTCCGTTGTGAAAAAAGGGACTCAAACCACTGGTAAATGCTGCTCAGAGGAATTATTAGACAAGCGATAGAGGCTGGCAGGTTCCCAAAACGCAAATTGTCTCCAAGACCAAAATATCTCTCAGTAAGCAGGGAACATATTTATGAGCAGCGGTGATTTTCCAGCAGTTCTCATCCCCTCATAATGGGATGGGAGCACGAGGCATTAAGCTTTGGCAGGCAGGGGTGAAGGCAGAGCAGAGGAGGCTTCCCACACACCTTCTCCTCGGTGCTGGGAGGGAGCAGCAGGTGGGGCACCCAGAGAGCACCTTCCTGCTGTGAACTTCTCAGAGCACC